TAAATACATTGAAATCTGCTAAATATGGTAACGTCCAGGCCTGATTGCAGCATTCCACGATAGACCCATCCTGTACCTGAATATATTTATTTTACTAATGAGCCAACGACAAGACTTTCAAATCATGGTTGCTTACGCCATACAAGATGATTTGCAAGTGACAATCCTCTGGTAAAAGTAAAGACCAATCACAAAGTCAAAAGACAAACAAGCCACTGCCATCATTTCTGCTCTCCTCCCTTTGACTTTCTTTTCTCAGTCATCTCAACCCCCTTCGGCTCCATTCCCACACATACCACCCTATTTGACCACATGATCAGGGGACAATTTGTCTCTCACTTCATGTGCTTCTGTAAAAGAAGTCAAACAGACAGTCAAATAGGACGGAAAGTGAGCTGCGGTTGACAGTACAAGCAGCACTTATCAATGATTAACTTGCCAAATGCCTTCTCCCAGCATTTTTATTTAATGCTGGTCTGAAATGTTTTCATTGACAGTAGTTTTGCTCCGGAAGAAGTCCTTGTTTACATGATGCGGGTGGTGGATTTTAAATTTAAATACTTTAAAAAGGAGAGTGGTTTGTCTTCTCTGTATGAAACAGCTGTAGTGGCTTGAAACATTCAATGTGTCTCTTGTGGTTTCTAAACCGTCTAAAATGTAGCACTCTCTGTAAACTGGTTTGGATCATAAGATTAAAGAATGCAGTGTAACATCCTATTTAGTACCAAAACACACTTTCTGACGCGATTTAGCATTTCTTTACAAGCATGAACTGTCTGTCTTTGATCTGATCGCACTGGCCTAGGAGGAGATGTCCAATCCTCTGCATTTCAGTGAGGTGGCCCGACAAGTGGGAAGTGAATAGTGCCTGAGAGAGTGGTGCTTAGCCGTCACATCACATTACCTGAGGATGCGTCAGCTGGGGGAAGTCATCTGTATCTGCTGCTGCGGGTGGATGTCCCCCAGTTGCACTAACCAAGCGCTGCCTCTCCTGGGAGGAACTTACTCGCCGACCTCACAAAAATATTGTCAGATGTGGAGAGAGGGTCAATACGGGAGCTGTGTGTGAACGCGACTCATCATTGACACACCAGTTGGCAGAAAGCTTGTGAAGGCTGTGGCTAATTCTGCTGCCATCTAAGGGTCCAAGCTAGCGTGATTTTCTCCCTCAAATCCCTTGCAGAAGCTTACGGGTGTGATCACACCTACACTGTGTTTTCTTTAGTCTGAACCTTGGTGGAAAAGTTTACATTACTGCAGTTATGTGATATTTTTTCTTGGCCTACATCCCATCCATCTTCCACACGTTCACTGGTAGTTAAGCCAAGCTATATTTGATTTTCAAATTGAACTACTGTATGTCTCATGCTATACCAAGCTCCTCCATTCCTGTCTTTTCTTGGACACTACAGAAAAGGACTACCCTCTCTTCCCACTGTTGTGAATAAATCATTCATATTTCCCTTTTGAATTATTGAGCATACAGCGTATTACTCTCAGTGAAGGTAAAAACTGAGTGTAGCCAAAAGAGATCCTAACTTTTTTGGGATGTGGGCACAAAAGTGTCTCAGCCTTAGCCGAAATTGCATGCTGGGATATCTTGTGAAAGAGCAGACCTACATTTATATATAGATTTGCTTTTGTTCACTTCCCAACACTCAGGCTGGACTCTTCTGCTGTTGCTGGGTCAGTGCTGTGGTGTGTTAGGTTCAATTTGCAGGTGCTGAATGGGTACTCATCCATAAGCATGGCCTTCACAGCCATAAATCCACATTTGCACATACAGTATAAAATCAATACCACAGAAGAGTATTCTGCAGTTATTTTGACGTGACCCAGGCCACAGGATGGGTCACCTTTTCTTCACATCTGTCAATAGCTTGCTTTTATTTGTTGAGAAAGGTTACTAAACTCAGATTTATAAGGGACATTATTGCTAGTAGATGATTTTTCTAACATACTGCTGGGGGGAAAGAGACAATAGGCTAAACATATAGCTTTCAAACTAATGTAAGATTGTTTTGTTTATTATTTAAGTGAAATACCATTCAAAAAGTTGAAAGGTAATTTCACCTCCATTAGAATCGTAATACATATTAAGTAGAGTTGGGTGCAAAGTCAATATAGACAATATAAATTTATAAAACAACAGACATTTTACCTTGTGGCTCATGATATATATTTGTTTCATATAGCTGGTGTATTAGGCTATTGTGGGAATTGTTTCAAATAAATGAGGACTGTCCATATGTTTTTTTTATGACTGTGATGAAGTACTTTAAGTACTTTGCTTACTTTAGATCATAACATGTTCCTCTCTTGTTAATTTATCCCTTCACAATTTCTCAGGTTATTTTTCCGAAAATTGAGTGTATTATATCATGATATGTTTTGATACCATAATATTAAATTATATAAACCTTGATAGAGAATTTGATTCATAGTATTCACTCTCCTAATGATACTGCATGGTAATATAACTACTGCTCGGAGAGTATAAATAGTATTTTGAAGTGTTTAAACGTTTGTTTAAATATTTGGAATATCTTCGAAAGGCACCATTAAACCACACAGTGACTGCATGTGCAAATTGAGTCACAATACAGTGAGACTGTAGAATTAGACCAAAGCTGGATTACCAACTGGGCAAAGTGCACAACTGCTACAGGGTCCCAGACCTATGTTTATGGTTTCTGGTAATTTGGTTAATTCCTGCATTTTTAAAGAGGCACTCCATGGATTTTGCAAATCATTGTTCAGTTTACTTGTCACAGTGAGTACCTACTAAATCTCTGAAAAGGGTATTCTTTGGCTCCAAATTGAGCTTTCTAAAGGCGTGGAGTTTGAAAGACATGAGTGTTTACCAGGCAGGGGTGCTCTAACAAAAATATACTGTTGACTTGCAATATGGGAAAACGTAGGATTCAATGTTTTGAGGGTTTGACCAATGCTTAACATTCCAAGATAGCTCATGCTGTGCTGCATCCATTTGAATCATTCTTTAAATGTCCTCCAACTTTACGGTGGTAACTTTTAGGAGGTGCAATACCGCATCCCTTTAACTAATCTTGAGACCCTGTCTTGTAACGTATAAGTGTCATGTGTCAAAATGTAGTATTAAATCTTCATTATTTCAGTTTATATTGTGGGAGCCAACAACAAATGTTTACTCCAGAAGCCTACGTGTATTTATCCGGCACTGAATACACTTGCGATAAATCGGATGGTGAATGTCAGAGATTCTGTGTTCCACCAGAACGACAGCAGTTTCTCTGAGAGTATCTATTTAAGCCTGTCTAGTTCCTGCAAGATCATAAATTAATTGGCCCCAAACTAGGGCCCACTACTCTAGCACCACATTGTTCATACTGGCATATACGTACATTTATGCATCTGCTGCCCTGTAAACCAAAAGGAACTCTGAGAGACAGTAAATATCCCTCTGCAGCAGAGCACTTAGTTTTCAGGAACTGCATAACCCCCACAAACAAACCTGTTCAATCATGAGCCTCATTTGCAGCTCTCCCTTCTGTTCTGCCTAATTTTACAATGCATGTCCTTGGGAACCCTAAATGACAGTGAGTGAGCCCTAATTACAGCTAATCATGTGTCTAATTGGCAATTACCATTCTAATGAATTATCTCTAGGATTCCCATTGTGAATCATATACCGAACTCACTCTGCTTTGTTTAATTAAAACGAGCCTGTTTTCATGGAGATCAGCACAAACAGTTTACAGAGCTGTCTGTACGCTTTTGTGCCAAAATAATCCCAAACTGACTTCATAATTATTTTAAATTCTCAGTTAGTCTTGAGGTCCACAAGAAGCAGGAATTCATGGAAAAGATCCTCTAGAATGATGTGGTTTGGTGGTTGTGCACACTTTGATTTCATGGTACGAGATTCAATCACCTACCCTATCTTTTCATCAGCCCAAAACACATTCATAGCTCTGTCAATCACACTGTAACACAGATTGATATCTGTGATCCTGTTCCTCCCATAATATCATTAGCTCCTCAGGCGTACTTAAGTCCCTTGTGCTCAGTGTATCAACAAGCAGGAAACATGCACATTCTGGGTGTAAGGCACTGAGGTAATAATGCCTGATTAGCAAGCGGGAGGAATAATCAGATCATCAATACAACAGCGAGCCTCTGTCTTCATTATGTTTACTGAGGCAGAACAATGACACCATTCATTTGACTTAATGTTATTGTGGCTTAGTGGGAGCAGTGGACATGTCTCATCTGTCACAAGCCTTCAGGCTGAGCTCAGCTGTAGTATACCTGAGATCCAGAGTGGCTCTTGATGGGTGGGGATGAGTGCTTACATCCCCCAATTTTAATGTGGAATTTATAGCAACTTACTGTGGAGCTTTTGGGAACTAACTTGAATGAATAATTTAGCACACCAGAATGGTATAGCTCCTATTTTTGTATGTTGCGGAACAGAAAAACAGCAATGGTAGTTCTGTTTTCTCTGAAGTGAACTTTGCCTACAGCACTTTAAATTAATTATCACGGGCGCAATAATAGAGAACAGGTGCAGTGTGTCCTTAATAGAAGTGTAGGAAGTTGTAAATCACATATCAAAGTCATCAGCTATGAGGTCAATGGGCGCTGATCCCAAATGCGTAAAGGAAACACTGATCATAGTCCGGTCAAGCAAATTAATTAAGCGTGCTATAAATTAATCACAGTCTGCGTATTCATTTTCTGGTTCAGTGGTTTTAAACGCACAGATCAGGGACCGTTGATCTTGAATGAGGCATTTACATGTCATTCGCTGGCACAAAACAAATTCATTAGGCTAGTTCATTTGGCACTTGAACTGTTCCTGCCCCCGGTGGTTTAGAGCGGTTTATAAAAGGCCATGTATTTGTCTTCTCCGTCACATTTTAAACGCAGGGTGAACTGCATGCATAATTGTGGTGCCACTGCGAATTAACAGGCTTCATTATCAAAGCAGCTTAATTTGCTAACTTTTCGCAACTCACCTATCGACGCTGATCACACACAGGGTCATGATGGAGGCAGTGCAGCACATTACATCCATGCCGATGAAGATGTTGCAGAACACCTCTCCAAAAAGCCACTTGCCCCCGGTCAGGTCTGTCACTATTACGAAAGGCATCACAACTATAGCCACTGACAGGTCCGCCACTGCTAGAGATACCAGAAGGTAGTTTGAAGGTTGTCTCAGTTTCTTCACCACGCACACAGCGATCACCACCAGCGTGTTCCCCATGACGGTGACCGCCGTGATGATCGCCAACATCACCCCGATAATGATCTTCTCCGGGTGCCCGAAATCCTGCAGCTGCTCCCCGCACGACTCGTTCCACATGGCTGTGGGACTGATGGTGACGAGGACGTTGTATAGAAGCTGCAGAGTGCCATTGATAACTTCGGAAATATCCTCCCTCTTGTTAAAAGTGAGCTCAATTTCCGAAGTATTGTACATCACGACAACGTTATCTCGGAAGGGGTGCAAGGGACGCCTCGCCAGTACACTCCAATTACGCGCATATTTGGAGATGTGTAACCTGCTCTCGGCTCCTGTCCAGCGGTCTTAGATCGAGGCTGCTGCAGCTACACCGCATCACAGCTGCCAACAACTCACAGTGGGTTCTCAACTGTTTTCTATTTCAGTTTCAATGATCTGTCTCGAGTGAAATAAGTGCGTGCTCCATCCCTACAAGGAAAAACAACTTTTACTCCAAAACTATGCAATGTGAAAAAAGTTACAGAATATAAACATAGCGGCTCCCGAAGTGCTTGTTTCGTGGTCCACTAACCGGACAAATATGGACTATTGGGGGAGTTGCGCTGCGCAAACCGCACCTATCAACGTGACGCATCACTTGAGGCGCACAGACAGCCAACTGAATACGAGACATGAGCGATACGGCAGCGGTTTCAAGCGTGCAAAACCATGAATAGTGTATGCTTATTTATGCTTTTTTTGCTGTAAAGGTTCCCTCTCCAAACTGTAGCATATTCACCTTGTTAGTTAATGTAGTGTATCCTAATCAGAGAATAGATTCTACCGAGGGTTTCCTTGTGTCGTTTTTATCTGACGCTTGTCTATTTTATATCTGGCTGTGAGTTAATGTCACAAAAATCCCACATCTTTTCACACTGTATAATATCTCCTCCTCAGTACTACGGCTATATTATTATAATTCTCAATGATCTGGCTGGAAACCCCTGAGACAGATATTTGTTCTGAAGCCCGTAAACACAGCCGAGCATTTATTGAGGGGGGAGAAAAATAAATCTGTTAAAGTTTGCTTTAAAATCACTGCTGTGTTCCCACGTGCCTCTTCAATTTGAAGAAGAGACAGGAAATGAACCCCATGGCATTTTGCCAGTGCCTCCTACAAGCAAAAATCAACTGCTTATAAATAGAACATCTCACTCAAACTCAACTCTCTTGTCATGTACAATATGCTTTTCTACTGTGCTGGTGCCTTTATTGGTTGCCTTGGCTCCTCAAATGTAAGCTCTGAAGACAAATCAAAAGAGAAAGCCCAGCTCTACTGTTCATCCGGGAAGACATGTGAGGACATATGGGAAAGCTTCCCAGGATTTTGGTTGCTTGCATCATTGTCCAGGCAGCAACAGCTGTGGTGTGTTTGTCCCTCTGGGTCTGGAGGGGCCAGCACTGTCTCCCACAATTCCCTTACAGGCATCACTGCTTCTCCCCACACCTCAGATGCAATCCACCACAGTCATGGCCTTTTAGGACTCACCATTACCTACCACTCTGTCTGACAGACAGGTCAGTAATGATTGTCACATCAGATTAATGCCACTGGCCATTGGCAGTTTCTGCTGGACCTTCTGCTGTCAAGGAAATGTGGCCCCTTTAAGCTATTATGATGTAACATATGCTCAAAGTCAGAGGAGACGGGTCATGTTTCCAGGGTAGAAAGCCTCTGAGGCAAGTTCTCAGGGCTTATGCAAATCAACCTGACAACATGTCAGTGTCTCTTTCAGCTCCTCTGAGGGTTTTGTAATGCAAAGGGTTAAATAGGTATGAATTACAACTGTTTTGAAAGCGATGAGGGGAGATGGTTAGAAGAAAGAAGAAATTCAAAGCAAACCGCTACAAATTCTTAATGGATCTGTTTCATCTTTGTGGAACCAACCACAGGCATTCCCCAGTGGTCATTTTGAATCTCGGTGTGGTGGTTTTGCATGTTTATGTGTTTGTTGTCTTTGTGGTTGTTGTTTTGTCTGTTTTTGTAGTCGTTTGATTGACTGTCCAACAAGAAACAGTCACTTCAAACAGAGATTCTGGCCCAGAGGCCCCCTACAGTACATTCAGCTGTGAGATTTGGTAAGTCTTGGACTTTGATGCAACCAGGTTACCACGCTGAGACTGCTGAAAACTCAGATCTGTGTGCTCCTTTGTTAGAAGGTGGTGTGGTATGTCAAAATTGAAAGCGTCGTTTGAACCAATTAGAGGAAATTACCTGAAAATGCAAAACTTGTTTTGATCCCCCTTGCAGCCAAAATCCCCGATGACCTGTTTTGGATGTCAGGTTAGTAAGACTCTGCCCGATAAACAAGCCACATGTGAATCCATGTGACTTTTGCTCACAAGCCCTGGAACCCCTCTGATTGGGCAATAAGAACCTTGATGAAACCAACATATTAAGTAAACTTGTCCTTTCACAGGAATGATACCGGCTGCCATCAAGTTTTACATTTTGACCTGTAATTACACCAGCATGTTGACCATGTTCTGATAATATTAAATGTCAGAGCACACTACCAAAAGCATCCCTCCAGGTCTAATCCAAACATGCGTCATTAAACATGACAGGTAATGTTATTGACTATGTTGACTTGGAGCCCATCTGTGCCCCTGACATGAACTGGCATAATGTTATCAGTCAGTCAGTTGAAGTCAAATGTCTGCTCTTTAGATGTAGATTACAGCTGAAGGCAGACAGGTGGAGATTGTCCCTCTTCACAGGCCAAGGGGGGAGATAAACATTGTTTATTTCGTTTTCTTGGCAGCAAATTGAGGATTTGCGAACATGACCTTAATAAGGTGACACAATCAGGCACAGAGCAGTAGCTGGGCAACAAACAGCTAATTTCATCATAACAACAAAATGTTAGAGAGGAGCAGAATAGAAAAACATGTTTGTTTCAGAAGTACCTCACCACAGAAATGACCAGTGAACCACACACACAGAGTGTTTGTCATTCTGTGCTGAACTCAAAACAAAGATCACTTCCAAAGGAAATGATATTATAGAACCAGTGTTTTCTTGCAAGCATCGGTATAAGCCACAGTCATTCATGTAACCTGGTTTGATTCTGCTTACTATAAAACAATCTTACTACAGAAGCCAAGCGGTGGCTCATGTTGTCTTGTCTTCAAGAATTCAGAATTCATCACATCCTATGAAGGTAAACTAATTAGTTTGGCCATGAACGTTGCCTTCATTCAATCTTATTATTTTCAGTTGGTATAGGTTACACACTATATGCTACCCTCAAAAAGAATAGTACATAACATAACATACCTGCTAACTATACAAACAATCAGTGAGTTCAATTCAATAAAAAGAAACATCGATCATTATTCTGCATATTGACCCTGCAATAACAATTAAATGGTAATGAATATTGTGAACTTAGCTCTGCAGGGGTCCCTTGGAACATAAAGTTGCAAAACCGCCTATACATGTTACACGCCAAATGTTGCCCTCTACAAGAATTAGATATAACATGGCGGCTAACTAGAGACAGTCAGACAAAAGTACAATTTAAAGAATTATTTTTTTAAATCTGAAAAGCAGCACAGTACTAGATCATCATCCTCCATATTATGCCTGTATATATATAATTGCTAGTTGTTTTTAACGGGTTGGGCATAGTTAGTAGCATCTGTGAGTAGCTGTAACTCAAGTGGTAGAGAAACGTGTTTTCTTAAGTAACAGAATACACATTAGAGAGACCTAACATGAGAGTTTAAAAATGTCAATGATGGTGAGAGTAGGGTTTGCTGAGTAAGCATGTTGAACCTGGAAAACGTCACACCTACAAACTGCCACATAGTTCTGCTAAGCTGCCGCTGAGCTACTGCACTCAAACCCCGAAGAGTGAGGAACATCACTGTTAGCCTTTGAGATAACAAACTTCCCTACTCTTATTGACGTATGATTATTCCCCTAGCAGGGAGCCTACATACAAGGTCACAAACACCTCAAACTCCCCAGGGTTTATTCTCAATAGGTAAACAATTACTGATTGCTGATTACCACAAATTTGAAACAAGGCTTGTTCTACTTAGAATTAAATTCAACCTTCATACTGACAAACTGTTGGCTACACTGTTTTACATTAACATTTTCCTGAGGCACTTATTCAGAGCCACATACAGTGAGTAGTGAGTCAATAGACAACATATTGATACCTACTGACATGTTGCATTTACTGTCACATAACAAATAATATCAAGACAGATTCTGACGTTGGTTCGTGGTATGGAGAAAGTTTTTGGGGGCAGTGTTTAAAGTCATTATGCACGGTCAATTTGGTTCTGATATAGCACTTACCTCAATATGTCAATAGATGGCATTACAACAATAGATAAAATACAACCCTTTTAATTGTTGCTGTTTATATGATGTCGTCCTTCAAGGACCAAGGATGAAATGGAATCCGTTGAGCCATGTTCATTAGAATGTTAAAAACTGTTTTCCCTTCAGTTCTTAAAAGTCGACTCCAGGAGAGATTATCTTAAACGCTCTATCCCGTCTAGTAACCCCCCCCCCCCAAAAAAAAACAGTAGTTAATATAAAAAGACCAAAGGAATGGCTACTTTCTGGAACAGTGATTCATTTATTCTTAAAGAGACCTGGTGCGAGCACAGAGTCATCACCTCAATACCTCTGGGAGCCTTTTAATGATTATTCCGACAGAGTCTAAGGCTAATTGCCAATATGCCTGCAGCCGGTGACCTGAAAACCAAAGCTCTGTGGGCTTTGGGACTTCTGGAAAGAATGTTTGTCCACCTCATTCAGCGTTCTTCTGAAAAAAAATGTTCAAATGACAAGAAGACACAAATCAATGCAAGTGCATGTCAGCAGCTGACCTCGAGTTTGTGAAGCATCTTTTCATCATGGTTATCTTTTTAGCTGTGCCTTTTTGTGGATAAAATAAATGTTTGTAGTTATGAAGTGAGACTATGAGTGAAAGCCAAGATTTGTAAGTCTTGCCATTTATTACTAATTTCTCTTGAATGCCATATATAGCTGTGGTACGCACCGCAAATACATTAATGTGGGTAATTGCCGAAAGGACAACAGACACCGCCTGTTTAATCACACGGTAATGTTTACCTTTTGCTCAAGCATTTTGAATATGGATATTGTTCATGATGTCAGTCAGAGTCACAAGCCTTGTTGAAAAAGACTACAAAAGGGCACATCTTCTACCAATCCCTTTTCCTGTGTAAAACAAATAAAAGTAAATTAGATTGGTTACGCCTGTCAATAATATTATCCGCCATCATCAATCTGCACAAAGATACTTTTGCCCCAGTGACCTAAGTGGGCTGCAATTGGCCAACAGCAGAGAGTTACGTATCTCCCAGGTCCAAATGTGTTATGAACTGTGTGAATATGAAACACGCCAGGCTGAATCATAGCCCAAGAAAATCTTGTTTAAAAAATACAAATAGGCCAAATGCAATTTCAATTTGAGTTTTAGCACATTACTTCACCTCGACTGCAACTGAACTGTACCTCATGAGTCTACATTACATG